CCCCAAAACCCCAAAACCCCAAAACCCCAAAACCCCAAAACCCCTCTGGATTTATTAGTGGTTGAAATGTAACTATTCTTACGTTATTTTAATTAAAATAGAAATTCGTCAGTATTCCATGGTTTTGATTCCTTGCTATTTGAAATCAAAATTCAAGGATTTTAGAGAAATTCTTTTGGCCTGGTACTTCCCTGTTGATGGTTAGACTAAATTTTGAGTAGTGTATTTTTCCAATGCTTTTTTATTTGGATAGATCCTCTTCCTTAATTGCCTTGTCTTTCTATCAAACACTTCGATCATGAAGATCTTCGCTTTTTCTAGTCTCTTTTTCTGCTCAATTTCTAATTCCTTTGCAAATCACAGGGCTTGTTCAGTTGAGAGGAATCTACCTTTAAGTCTTGGTCTGTTGTCAGCTACTCTTTTACGACTTTGGTAGTTTACGTTAGTACTCCATCTCCTCCTTCTCTTTTTCTCAAGATATCTTTTGACTTTTAGTGCTCTTTCAGATTTGGTAAATTTCCCGATCATTGATTCTTTAGCAGAATTTTTATTTTTAAGAGAAATTGGAGCAGTTATCTGAGTAATGTCTTTATCAAGAGATATGTCTTTTTGAACTCCAACCTGGGCAGCAATTTCTTCAGACTTCTTTAATAAGTCTCTTGCGTTCACTCAATTTTGACCATTTTCAAAATTGGTCGATTTTTCTTGATTATCAGTCTTAATGTCAATAAAGAAGGGTTTGAGAGAAGCTTGATTAAGCATCCCAAAATTCCAACAAGGTTTAGGCATTTGTAGTTTGGAACATCCCTTCAAACCAGATCCTGATTGCTTAGAGATAGATGATTGTGAATCAAGCTGAGAAATAATATTCGTAGTAAAAGCATTCTCTAGACTCTCTCCTGGTAATTCTGATGAACTTAAATTTCAAATTTTCTCGTTTGCATCGCTCCTCTCAATTGAACTTTCTCATGATTCTCCATTATCCGATTGACAGCTTCTTAGAGAATCTAAGTGACGATATTCAAAGTTAAATGATTTTGCAAGAGCATTAAAACCTAAGACTGTTCTCTCATTTCCAGTAGGATTTATACTTGATCCTTTAGTCAAAGAAGAATTCATATCATTCGCAAATTTCTGAGATAACTTAGTTCTTTCCCAAAACATTTTATGGCTTTTATGAGTAATGTTACTAAAAAGATGAGACCCAATAGATTGAATAGCTCTGAAAGAGTCAGAAAGTTCGATGTCTGATGAAGATGTATAAAGGCTAGGATGCACCCTCTCTTCTTCATATTCTTCACTGAAATTTATTGGAGTATCTTCATGGGTATCTGTCAATACAGGCCTCACAATTTCGTCTTTTTCATATTGGTCTTCAAGGTATTCATCTTGAATACTAAAGTCATTAAATTGATTCATGTTATTTTTGTTAATTAAAGGAATCAAATTTTTAATAAATAATGGGGTTTTGGGGTTTTGGGGTTTTGGGGTTTTGGGG